AGGATCCTGGAATGAGCCTCTTCTTTCTTTTATTTTTTATTATTGTAATTTTTTGGGGGCAGGGTCTCCCTCTGTTGCCCAGGCTGGAGTGCAGTGGTGTGATCATAGCTCACTGTAGCCTCAAACTCCTGGATTCAGGAGATGCTTCTGCCTCAGCCTCCTGAGTAGCTAAGACTTACAGGTATGTGCCACAATGCCTATTTAAAAAAAAAATTTTTTTTTTACTCTTCTTTTTGAGATGGAGTCTTGCTCTGTCGCCCAGGCTGTTGGGCGGTAGCATTATCTTGGCTCACTGCAACCTCTACTTCCCAGGTTCAAGTGATCCTGTTGCCTCAGCCACCCAAGTAGCTGGGATTATAAGCATGTGCCACTACGCCCGGCTAATTTATTTTGTATTTTTAGTAGAAACGGGGTTTCACTATATTAGCCAGGCTGGTCTTGAACTCCTGACCTCAAGTGATCCTCCACCTTAGCCTCCCAAAGTGCTGGGATTACAGGCATGAGCCACAGCCCCTGGCTTAAAAAAAAAAAAACCCAAAAAAAAAACACCTTTTTTTAAAGACAGAATCTCACTGTGTTACCCAGGCTAGTCTCAAACTACTGGCCTGAAGTGGTTCTCCTGTCTCAGCCTCTGGAGTTGTTGGGATTATAGATGTAAGCCACAGCACCCAGCCTTCTCTTACTTTTAAATACTTTCTTTCCCTTATTATCCTAGAAGATGAACCCATGGGCTTGTAGATGTTGTAAATGGACGACTTCTGTAGCAAAATCAGTTTATTTGCAATTAATGCATTAAGATAAGAGGTGGTGATTAAGGTTGCTTTATTTATCTATCTATCTATTTATTTATTTATTTATTTTTGAGACAGAGTCTCACTCTGTCACCCAGGCTGGAGTGCAGTGGTGTGACCTTGGCTCACTGCAACCTCCACCTCCTTGGTTTGCAACCCCCACCTCCTTGGTTCCTGAGTAGCTGGGACTGCAGGCATGTGCCACCACAGCCAGCTAATTTTTGTATTTTTAGTAGAGACAGAGTTTCACCATGTTGGCCAGACTGGTCTCGAACTCTTGACCTCAGGTGATCCACCAGCCTTGGCCTCCCAAAGTGCTGGAATTACAGGCGTGAACCACCATGCCTGGCCTGCTTTATATATGTAATTTTAATTGTTGGGTGTTTTTAAAACTCCATGCAAAGAATGGATCTGCTTTATGGAAAGCCTTTTGACTAAAAGTAAGTACTCACTTTTTCCAGGAATTTACATTAACAATTTATGTTCTTCTAAGAGACATTATCTGCAAAGGTGTTAGAAAACATGCTCCAAACCTTTTTCTCTTTTTTCCTTGTGAGAACATCTTATGTCCTTCAAAGGAAGATTACTTTTGTCTTTTGAAGTCAGGAATTTATAAAAAGAGTTTGCTGGATGGAAAAACCATAAAGGCCATAACTCTAAAACCTAATGTAAAGAAGAACAGTTAGAGCTGTCCAAAGATGGGAAAGAATGTCTTACCACTAAGCCAGTTTCCCGGAACTGGAGTGGGGGGCCCTCAAATGTAAGGCAGTTGACCACTTAAGATAGAATCACCTGGGGTTGGGCAGAGGTTGAAGAAAAGCTGCGAGCATCTTATAAACAGGTGGGCCTGAGTGTCTCCTTACGTCTTTTTTTTTTCAGTCCTAAACTTCTGTGATGCAGTAAAATGTAAAGGATATTATTGACTTGTATTTTTTGCATTTACCTATTTGGGATTTCCTAATGTAGATAGGCTTCTCAATTTTAAAACTTAACCTTTAATACATTTTCAGTTCCAAAAAAATTTGATAACTTCTGTTTTGTACCTAACTTCCACTACCACAGCATGTGGCTCTGAGCCAGCCACAGATTCATGATCTGTTGACTACACAGATGTTTGGAGGCTGATCATGCCTGCACATCCGTAGTTGGGACAGTTCAAAATTTAAAAACAGACTGCACAGATGGTTCTAGACGTGCTTTTTGAATTGTGTACCTTTGTAATGTTTTGGGGGGATATCAGAGGACAGCCAGAATTTGTTACCAGACTTTTAAATTGTACAGATCTTTGTACTCCAGCTAAACCTCCTCATCCATTAGCAAGTATACAGAGATATCATCCTGGCAATTGCGCATCTTTCTCCTTTGACCTTAGCAGTTTGCATGGCAGATTGTGCCAAGATGAGGCCTGTCCAGGGACCCATGCAATAAAAGGTTAGATTCTTTTAAAGTTTTTTGATAATTGTTTTTATTTCCAGAAAGATATTTTTGTTTGCCCCATTTAAAAAGGTTAAATTGAGTCACTCTCTTCACTTTCATGAGTACCTTATAGGAAACTATTAATAATGATAAATAACTAAACTACTTTAGATTACCTTAATTTGTTGTTGTTGTTGTTCTTAGTGTATCTAAGAGAGTAGCATATAGGCCATGTGTATGTGGTGATAAATGAAAATGCAGGGGTCTTACTTGGTTATTTAGGACTTAAGATTTTATCTAGTCATTTTCAACTGTGATCGAACACTTCCCTTTAACTCCCTTCAGAAACTCCAAGATCATATTGTATCCCAGGTACAAGAATTTCTGTTCAGCTGTTTGTACGCCTCCCCCACAAGAAATTGGCTCCAAACCTATTCCCATTACATCATCACCCACTAATGTCATTACAACAGAATGAAATCTGCTTTGAAGCTTGTATTTTTGTTTTCCTTCCCTTTCTTTCCCCTCATTATTTCCTTTAGAAGGGAAAGGGAAGAAAAAAAAAGAAAAAAAATCAGAGACCTGTAAACATTTAACAGTGAATTGGATATCCCCACAGGCTAAACCTAGAGTTGTCAGCTTTCATTCCATTCTGCTGTGATAGGGTGTTCTGCTCAGTGTGTATCCACATGGAGCCTGGAAAGTAACAAGTCTAGTCATGTGACAACTGGCTTTGGTGCTTGCTTTCAGCCCCTCAGAATTAGTTCCTAATGACTCACATAGTTCTCTGCCAGCATCCCGTCACTGGTATGTTAAACCTTTTCAAATAATTTCTCAGAATAGAAATTCTTAGGAGAGCACTAAATTTCTCCATTCTTTGTGTTTAAACTGTTCTTGCACTTAAATATTTGCCAGATAAGCGCTTAAGACATTATAATACAGGTTGAGTATCCTTACTCTGAAAATCTAAAATCCGAAACTTTTTGAACCCTGACATGACGCTCAAAGGAAATACTCATTTTGGATTTTGGATTTTCAGATTTGGGATGCTCAACCAGTAAGTATAATGCAAACTTACTCCAAAATAAAAAATAAAAAATAAAAATGGACTGGGCTTGGTGGCTTATGCCTGTAATCCAAGCACTTTGGGAGGACGAGGCAGGTGGATCATCTGAGGTTAGGAGTTTGAGACAGCCTGGCCAACATGATGAAACCCCATCTCTACTAAAAATACAAAAAATTAGCCAAGCTTGGTGGCAGATGCCTGTAATCCCAGCTGCTTGGGAGGCTGAGGCAGGAGAATCACATGAACCTGGGAGGCGGAGGTTGCAGTGAGCTGAGATTGCAACACTGCACTCCAGTCTGGACAACAAGAGCGAAACTCTGTCTCAAAAAAAAAAAAAAAAAAAAAAGTCAAAATCCCAAACACTTCTGGTCCCAGGCATTTCAGAATTTCATGTAAGGGATACTCAACCTGTGTTATCTGCAGTTATACAGTTATAGCTGATATGGGGATCCTTATTCATATCTTCCCTCCTTTGTCACAAAGCAGTTGACTAAATGCAGGTTCTAGCCCTCTTTCTGTATCCTAATTTTAATTCTTTTTTTTTTTTTTTTGCGATGGAGTGTTGCTCTGTTGCCCTGGCTGAAGTGCAATGGCATGATCTTGGCTCACTGCAACCTCTGCCTCCTGGGTTCAAGTGATTCTCCTGCCTCAGCCTCCCGAGTAACTGGGATTACAAGCATCTACCGCCATGCCTGGCTAATTTTTGTATTTTTAGTAGAGATGGGGTTTCACCATGTTGCCCAGACTGGTCTCGAACTCTCGATCTCAGGTGATCCACCTGCCTCGACTTGCCAAAGTGTTTGGATTACAGGTGTGAGCCACTGCACCTGGCCTCTGCTTTGTTTTTCTTAACTGTCTTTAAGGCTTCCAGTTGCCAGTGTGCTGTGTTAGGCTTTATGTTTAATAACATGGTTCAGGTTCGGGAAGAACTGGCAAGTAGTTTCATTTCAGAGGCTTCATGTTACCTACACAGTTATTGGCCTCATGTCCTTTGAGGCAGATTTGCCTGAGATTAGAAGGAATCATCATCATCAGGAGCCCCAGAGAAACGGGACCACAGTGTCTAAAACAAAAGAAGAAACCTAGCACACACACTCTTTTTTTTAAGAGACAGAGGCTTGCTGTGTTGCCCAGGCTGTCTTGGAACTCTTGGGCCCAAGTGATCCCCCTGCCTCACCTTCCTGAGTAGCTGGAACCACAGGCATGCACCATTGTGCCCAGCTTGGCTTTTATCTTTTAAGACTCTGGGTTTACATTTCTGTACAGTACTAATCACTGGGGACTTTTAATATAAAAATTTGCTGAAGGCTGTGGCATGGAGTATGAGAAGCCACAGAGAATTTGAAAAAGCTTTGGAGGGAATGGCATTGAAAATTGTGGGCTAGACTAGGGCAACAAAATACTTTCCTCACCCCACACCCATGTAAGAAGTTAAAATCCTTGATTAACATTAGGATTTCAGCTTACATTTCTAGCAACTTTTAATTTTCTAGTTGGAGCTCTTTAGCAGTCTCTATGGTATAAGCTAGATAGAAGGAAAAACTTTCCTACCAATGTTTTTAAGATGTAAGTCTGTGTTAAAATCTTTTTAGTATAATTATATACCTTATCAAACTGAAAAATTGAATAGATTCATAAAAACATCCACAAAGATACAAATGCCTAATCTGGACAGAAAGTCTGACTTTATTGTTTCTAATGTGTCTTATGTATATGTTTATTTTCAGTTGTCACGATGTCCACAGAAGGAGGATTTGGTGGTACTAGCAGCAGTGATGCCCAGCAAAGCCTACAGTCATTCTGGCCTCGGGTCATGGAAGAAATCCGGAATTTAACAGTGGTGAGGAAGAATGAGAAACTTTTATTAGAAACTTTTAAAGAGTATAAGGGCTATGGGAAATTAACCAAAACTCAGACTAAAGCATTTTTAATTTCAAGCACATTTACGAGGCATAGTTCATCCCTGACCTGTGGGTAGGAAAATGAAAACATTTGCCTTCTGTGAGGTAACTGCAAGAGTGTCTTTTATATCTCAGTGGTCTTCCATAAGCATGTGGTGTGTAGTGGATACTTTGACTTGGAGGTAGTTTAATGTGAGGCATATCCTTTAGGAGTTGTAGGAAAACAGAGATCTCATCTTCCTTCTGTAGCTCTAGCTTAATTTTTTAGGCCTGATTTAATGATCCTGCCACATTTCTAGAACTTGGTAAAAACTATTGGACAATTTATTCAACAACAAATCTATTGTGAGCCAGGAACTCTTTCCAGGTGTTAAAAAGATACACTTTGATCACTGTTTCTCAACAGCTGCATTATTGACAGTTTGGGTTAGATAATTCTTTGTTCTGAGGGGCCGTCTTATGCATAACAGCATGTTTAGCAGCACCCCTAGCCTCTATTCACTAGATGCCAGTAGCACCCCTCCCCGAGTTGTGACAACCAAAAAATGTCTCTAGACATTGGGAAATGTGCCTGTGGGCAAAAATCATCCCCTGTTGAGAACTACTGACTCACAATAATTAAATATAACCTTGACCTGTGAGGAGCTTACAATCTAGTAATTACAACCAGACTCATTTAGTCAGTAGGTATTTATTAAGTACTTACTGAATCAGGCACGCTGATGAGTCCTGAAGCAGTAAAAGTCAAGGAGCACAAAGGACATAGTGCTTGTTTCTTTCTGGTTGAGTTAGGTAAGGGTTTAAGTAAAGGGAACATTTTTGTTGAGTCTTAAAATATGAGTAAGCGTTCACCAGATGTGAAGGATGGGAGGGCAAAGACAAGGGCATGCATAAAGGCATGGAGGCCCAGTGGGGAGGGCCTTATAGTTAGAGGAACATCAAGACATTCAGAGTGCCTGAAGGTTACTGTGTGTTTAGTGGAGGTTGAGGGAAGGAGTAAGTATGTGGTGTGAGAGTGGTAGTGGAAGGTGAGGCAGGTTAGAGTTGGAGTATTTTCATAATACAGTTGTCATGTCCTTAATGAAGAATGTTCATTAAGGTGTCATTTTAGTATATACTGAAGGAGTTCCCTGTGTTGGCTATGTCATTCCTGTCCTGGAAATACTAGTATCCTGGCAGAGCAGACACTGGATTCCTTCCTGATGTAGAATTAATGTTGCAGTTGCTTAGGGTTAGTGACCTTTACCTTCTGACGTTACAATGTCAGTTTATTCATTCACTCAACAAATACTTATTATGTACCAACTAAGGCTATGCTAGATACTGTGGATATGGTAATGAACCAGACAGACAGGATCATTGCACTCATGGAACATATATTCTGATGAGACAGGCTAATAAACAAGTAATTAATGGAATGAAATAACTTATTATGATAAATGTCCACTGACTTCAGGGATGAAAAGTAATTCATGTTTTGGATATACCTCTGGGTCACATTTGTTTATATGAAGAGTTTTCAGCAGTTGAACTTGGCTTGGCCTTTCTCAGACTGGCCTGGGTTCAGAGTGGATTTCCACTGAAAAGTCATTGTTCCTCTTCTGCAGTCTAAGGTAGTAGTTATCTAAACTGTCTCAGATATAAAAGAGAAGGTAGGGAGAAATGAAACTATGAAGTCAGAAATGGGGTGTTTTGTTCATATTTTAGGGGGATAATCTCATGATTACGCTTATCAGCTTTTGGTGCTGGGGTCAGCTTGGTGTAAAATGAATGCTCTCCTGGGGTGTGGTGGGACTAGGCCAATCGAGCAAGTCTGTGCTGCAGCTTGAGCCGAGAGGCATGAATCCAGGATTAGGCAAGTGGCCAGATAAACTCTGGAGGTTTAAGCTCAGCACTTAACTTTTCTGTTTTGTTGGACTTTGATTTTTTTTTTTTAGTTGTAGTAAAAAAACACATAAAATTTTGCCCCTTATCCATTTTTAAATGTACAGTTCAGAAGTGTTAAGTATAATCACATTGTTATGAAACTTATCTTGAGAATTTTTTCATATTGCAGTACTGAAACTGTGCACTCTCTAAACAACCACCATTCTGATTTCTATGAATTTGACTATTTTTGATACCTCATAGAAATGGGATCATATCGTACAGTCCCCTACTTACGATGATTCTACTTAATGTTTTTTCCACTTTACAGTGGTTAGAAAGTGATGTGCATTCAATAGCAGTTGTACTTTGAGTACCCATTCAACCATTCTGTTTTTCACTTTCAATCTACTATTCAATAAATTATGAGATACTCAACACTTTACTATAAAATAGGGTTTGTGTTAGATTATTTTGCCCAACTTTAGGGTAATGTAAGTGTTCTGAGCACATTTAAGGTGGGCGAGGCTAAGCTATGATGTTTGATAGGCTAGGTGTAGTAAATGCATTTTCAACTTAGGATCTTTTCAACTTACAATAGCTTTATCAGGATGTAACCCCATTGTAAGCAGAACAGCATATGTATTTGTCTTTTTGTCTTACCTTATTTCACTTAGCATGTCTGTTGAAGCATGTGACAGGATGTCCTTCCTTTTTTATCTTTTTTCTTTTTTTTCCTTTTTGGAGATAGAGTCTCACTCTCTCTTCCAGGCTGGAGTGTAGTGGTACAATTATGGCTCACTGCAGCCTTGACCTCTCAGGCTCAAGCAATCCTCCTGCCTCAGCCTCCTGAGTAGCTGAGACTACAGGTGCGTGCCACCACACCCAGCTAATTTTTGTATTTTTCTGTAGAGGCAGGGTCCCACCATATTACCCTGGCTGATCTCAAACTTCTGGGCTCAAGCAATCCTCCCACCTCCGCCTCCCAAAGTGCTGGGATTATAGGTGTTAGCCACCATGAGTGGCCTTTGTTTTTTCTTTTTTAAAGAGACAGGGTCTTACTCTTTTGTTCTTTGCTGGAGTGCAGTGGCAGGATTATAGCTCACTGTAGCCTTGAACTCTTGGGCTCAAGGGACCCTGTCTCCTCAGTCCCCCAAGTAGCTAGGACTCTAGTTGTGCACCACCGACCTGGCTAATTTAAAAAAAAATCTTATGTAGAGATGGAGGTGTCACTGTTGCCCAGGCTGGTCTCAAATTCCTGGCCTCAAACAGTCCTCCTGCCTTGGCCCTCCAAATTACTGGGATTACAGATGTGAGCCATCATGTCTGGCCATGTCAATCAGCTCGGATTGAAATTAATTAAAAACCATACCAAGATGATTGTTTCCCAGAGTGATTGTGTAAAATACTATATTCCTGCACAGCAGAGCTCTGGGAACAATATATAACAGACTTCTTCATGTTGAGTTTTGCCCCACTGGGCCTCTTTGAAAATAGGAAAGAGAAAGCTAACTTTGTCTTTACGGAGGTGAGTTGGGGGCAGTTGGGCAACGAAACTGAATTTCGAAAAGAAAAATCTAATTCTGTACTTAACTACTTTACATCCCATTCAGCCTTCAGTTTACTGTAATTCAGTGCCTAGGTCACTTTCTTTTAATTGGCAGTTTCATCTTTTCATTCCTCAGTGCCTTTTGATTGGGTGATGACATTTCTAACATCACAATCAAATCAGATAACTGTTTAAACAAGAACTTGGTGGTGAAGATTGGTGGACTGTTACAAAACAGGACCTGTGCTGTGTGAGCCACTCCTGTAGAGCAGTGCTTCTCAAACTTTATTGTCTGTATGAACCACATGAGGGAGGATCTTCTTAAAATATTGATGCTGATTTAGTAGGTTAGGAACGGAACCTGGGAATCTGTTTTTTTTGAGTTCCTAGGTGATACCATTGCTGCTCCAAGGACCTTACTTTGAGTAGCAGGGCTATAAAGCAGTAGTCCTTAACTCTCACTTGGATCATAGTCACAGGGGAGTTTTCAAAAAACATGATGCCAGTACTCTACCCACTAGAGCAGGGGTCCCCAGGCCCTGGGCCATAGACCTGTATGGGTCCATGGCCTGTTAGGAACCTAGGAACTGGGCTGCACAGCAGGAGGTCAGTAGCCAGTGAGCAAGCTTTACCGCTTGAGCTCCCCCTCCTGTTAGATCAGCAGCGGCATTAGATTCTCATAGGAATGTGAACCCTATGGTGAACTGCACGTGTGAGGGATCTAGGTAGCACACTCCTTATGAGAATCTAATGCCCACCCTGCCCATCTTTGGAAAAATTGTCTTGCACAAAACTGGTTCCTGAGGTTGGGGACCACTGACCTAGAGTTCCTGATTCAGCTGGTCTCCAGGAGAGAGCTCAGGCAACTTGTTTTTCAAAAGCTTTTCAGGTGATTCTAATGTGCAGCCCCAAGATTGAGAATCATTGCTTTCACAAGGGTTGAGAATCTTGACTTGCCAGAGTGCCTGACTGGGTAGGCCTGGAAAAGATTTCTCTTTATTATTTGAAACTCTGGATGTTCTTTAGTGCAGCCCAAGATCCGCTGACTTTTCTGTGGCTCCAAACTCTCATTGAGTGAATTCAGTTTTGAATTTGTCTTGAAATGCAGCAGTTTCAGATGACAGCATTTTTAACATAGTTCTTTGGTAGTTGTCAGGAGCATGAGAATGTTCTGAAAGATAATCTGCTCTTCTCCTTACTGATGTAACTCCCAAAAGTAGGGGGGAAAAAAGTATGTGTCAGCTGTTCTTCCAGTTGGATCAGTATCAGGAGAAGGAGTTAAGGAGTTAAATGTTACTCCCTTCAGTTACATAGTAGCCAGTGAAGTGGGGAGCATGAATCCAAGTTTCGGGGGCCTCAGTCTACTGTTTGTAGAGGGCCTCCCCTTTCCAACAAGCTTATGGTAAATCCTTACATGTAACTAGAAAGCTACAATAGGATTAATAGAAAACTGGGTGATTGTCAACAGGGTTGAACCATACACACACCTCAAGATCCACTTTTACACACTGCTCCTTGAGATCTCAAGGTTTCAGGAACATGGAAAAATAGTTTGTCACAAATAAAAGCTTTGGGAAGGAGATTAAAGCAGAGCTTATTATAAATTTCTGCCGCATTTTACATCTCTGCAAGACGGGAATGATCTCTTGATCCTTGACTTTTGTTGCTTTTGATTAAAGAATAGAAATTGAAGGAGTAATATTTTACTCTTTCCTTTTGGGGAAAGAGGTCTTTTTTATCAGCTTTGGGCTTTAGTTCAGTAATCATGGAACATTCTTGTACAAATTATATTTAAAACCAAGCCAAATGAGAGCACACTTGCAAGAGAGCTAAATCTATGATCATCTTGTGCTGTATGTATCAGCCTGGGAGGCTTTCCAAAGGAATGATCATCCCTAGCATTCTCTTTGGCATTTCTGTGTAGTGTCATCATCTTCTGTGATATGCCACACAAGAAGGAAGACCAGTGGTTGATTTCTGGGATTAAACTTTAAAAAAAATCTCTTAAGGATCTGGCTCCAACCCAGTATCCTCTTTCCTGCTTCTCCCCTCTGTACTCAGATCGTAGATCTAAAACTTAAATAGACTGTGATTTTTTTGTATCTCTGTCTTTGTTGTTCTGTCTGAATAACATTCTCATACTTTTTCAACAGGCAAATTCCCAGAATCCCTTAGACACAGTTCAGATGTCTTCCCCTTTGTGGAACATTTCCAATCCCTCACTTTCCCTCCAGCCCCACATTGCTAGCTGTCCCTAGCAACGTGTCCTTCTTTGTGTCCCCGTGGGATTTTATATCCCTCCCTTCCAGTTTTGGATAGGGGATTATAATGTTTTCATGTGACTGTCTCTGACAAACCACATGCTTTTCAAAGGTAGGAGTAGATGTGTATTTTTTCTTTCTTTCTTTTTTAAATAGTAATGGGGTCTCACTATGTTGACCAGGCTGGTCTCAAACTCCTGGCCTCAAGCGATTCTCCCATCTCAGCCTCCCAGAGTGCTGGGATTACAGGCATGAGCCACCGTGCCTGGCCTACATGTGTATTTTTGCATAGTAGTAGGTATCATACATTTACTATTAGTTGAGTTGCTTGAATCAGTAAGTGAAAGAGCAAGGGGAAAAACAAGAATAGAATGAATCTGTGCTACTATTTCCTTTTGTTGAAATTTTAATAAACTGAACTTCTAAGTCCCCGTTACTCCAGGGTTAGTTTTAGTAGAGGCTTCATGGAAAATGTTGATACCTAATTTGGAAAAGGAAAAGATGAAAAATTGGTGTTTGAAGTTTGTAGAGCAGAGTGGTAGCCAAGCAGCTTGTTGGGTTTGCGTGGAAAAATTAGATGTCTTGGTGTACATTTTATCCTAATAGATTCTCTTCTTTCTGTAATCGTAAAATAGGTTCTGGGAAGACTGTTGATGGTTTTCCAAAATAACTTTTTTGACATATATTTGAGATTTTCTGTTGGTCTTGGAAAAGAAAGTTCACTTATGCTTGTTAATTACATCTAATCTCAAATAATAGCTGCTTCTTCCATAATGTGATGATGCAAATTTCCAGGTGAGCATATTGGGTTTAGTGAGTCATATTTCAGACCACTTATAGAGTCAATCATTTGACACCTAGTCCCAGTAAAGATTTTGCTGATTCTAGCTAATATCTGCGTTTGCACCTTTCTCTTCATTGCAGCTCAGAAACTCAAAATTGATTTTTTTCCTAGAATTGCATCCATCATTGGGCATGCGTTTAAATACCAGTAGTTTCCAAATAAAACAAAAAAGGGCTTAAATCTCAAATTATTGAGTAGTGCTGGTCAAAAGCCCTTTACTAAATTATATCCACAGTGAAGTTATATGGTCCTCCCCCACTCCAGGCTTGTTTAAGAAAAAATAACACAGTTGTTCCTAAAAGGCAGCTGATAAATTCACCCTCATCCTTTTTCTGTACTCCTCTACCCCCACTTGAAACAAATTTTGGAGACAAGGCAATCATTGCTACTGTGATGAGAAAGGAGCTCTCCTCCCCAATTTCTGTTGACAAGTTAGTGCAAATATCAGAAATAGCCACTGTCAGCTGTGAAGAACTGTGGGTCACTGTGGTCAAGTGCCCCGGCATTACTGTTACAGTTTATCACTGAATGGAAGAAAGAACTGGAACTTTAGAGGAATACCCCTGAGACAGAAATCTCATTTTAATCTGCATATTGCAGACTGGTAAACTTACTTGGAAAAAAAGTGAAGGCGCTCATAATGTCCCTTTATGTGCTGACGAAAACAAACAAACCAAAACAAACAGATATTGCTTGGGGCTCCGTTTCATGAGGGCACTGTTAGAGGCCATCCTAAGCTTTTTCTAAAGCCCACTAATTCTTTGAAGACCTGCATATGTTAAGAAGAATTTTGCTCTGGAGCTTGTATTTTCTTCATTTCATCTGTACCTCCTCTCCCGACTTCCTGAAGAGAGGGATTAAGCCAGAGTGCTTCCTGCTGCCTGTCATGCTTTGCCACACTGTTGATTGTGTCCACCATTTATGCATCTCTTGTTGTTCATTTCAGAAAGACTTCCGAGTGCAGGAACTCCCATTGGCTCGTATTAAGAAGATTATGAAACTGGATGAAGATGTGAAGGTGAATTCACATTCATTTTTATTATTTCTTATTGAAGCTGAGTGATGGGTAGGTTATTGTTCATTGCTCTAGAGCTCAAAGTTTAATTAAACAAGAACACACAAAAAATTACTGTCTGTTGCTTTGTTATTTGATTCCTGTTTAAAATTGTTAAGTGAGCCAAAATTGAGCAGTTTTGGTTACTATATGGATCATCCTGAAAATTAAGGATATCCTGGGTTTTTTAGATGTTGAAAAAATAGTAGTTGTTGGTTTTTGTTTTTTCTTTTTCTTTTTTTTTTTTTTTTTTTTTGAGTATTTACTCTGTTATCCAGGCTGGAGTGCAGTGGTATGAGCTGGCTCACCGCAACCTCTGCTCTCCAGGTTCAGGCGATTCCATGCCTCAGACTCCCAAGTAGCTGGGTTACAGGCGCCTGCCATCACACCACGAATTTTTTGTATTTTTTTGTAGAGACGGGGTTTCGCCATGTTGGCCAGCTGGTCTTGAACTCCGACCTCAGGTGATCTGCTTGCCTTGGCTCCCAAAGTGCTGGATTACAGATGTGAGCCACCGCATCTGGCCTTTCTTTCTTTTTGAGACAGGTCTCTGCACTCTGCACTGGAGGGCAGTGGCATAATCATGGCTCACTGTAGCCTTTACCTCCCAGGCTCAAGTGATCTTCCCACTCAGCCTCCCAAGTAGCTGGGACTATAGGCATGCCATCATGCCTGGCTACTTTTTAATGTTTTTTTGGAGCAGGGGACAGATCTCACTGTGTTGCCAAGGCTGTCACGAACTCTTGGACTCAAGCAGTCCTCCAGCCTCGGCCTCCAAAGTGCTAGGATTAGGCATGAGGCCACATGCCCAGCCGTATCTCACAGTTCCTTTACACAGTGTAGCATATACGTGGTATCATCAAGTCAACAGGACAGTGCCATCATCTTAGCATCTTATAACATATAGTTTGTTGATCTGAACTCTTAGAAGTTTTTGATAATGATATTGCAACCTGCTTAACTTTTTGACCTGTGAGTCTTTTACATGAATAACACTTGTGAGAGGGTTTGCTTGGGCTGGCAATTTCTGTATTCCTAGGAGTCATCTCCATTAATGATCTCAGAGAAAGAGAACTCTGTCTCTTTACCACTCAAAATTAATAGTCTTTTTGTATTTTCACAGAAAAGCTGAACAATTGATAGCAATTTCCTTTTTATTTAGCTCCTTTCTTCCTCACAGGTAGCCCTGTGAGGATTTGATATAACAGAATTATCAGTTCTGTTTTACAGATACATGGAAATAGACACAAAGAAGAGTTAAGTGACTCACCCAGAGTGTTAGGACCAAGATCGCATTTCCCATCTGCTGACTGCTTTAACTCCAGAGCTCTTTCTGTGATTGTAGCCTGCCCAGACTACCTCACCAAGGTTTAGAACCTTGTTTGACCAAGATCTTCAACTTTGAAATCAGACACATCAGTTATAAAGCTTGAGCACTTTCTATGTGCCAAGTCTGTGCTGCGGTACATATATTATCTCATTTGATTGCCACAATAGAACTGGAAGGTTATCCTCTTTTTCAGTGTGGTGAAAACAAAGACCAAAAGGGATCGGAGAGCCTGCAAGTTTTACCCAATCCATTGGCTTTTAAGCTCATTCTCCTTCCCCATATTGGTTTCACCTTAGATCTTAGAACCTAAACGCTGCCCTTACTGCGCTCTATGGCTATGGGCAAGTCACCTGAATCTCTCTTACAACCCTAGTTTCTTTGAAAGGCTATTATAAGGGGTAGAAAGCGCCTTGCACAAGGTTTGGCACATGGTAGGTGCTAAATAAGTACTCTTTCTCCCTGTTCCCTGCTTTATTTCCTACTCATGGATCTTATTTTACTTGGACTCTCTTGAGCATACCACCTCATTTTTTGGACCCTTGCCCCATAGTCCCATGCCAGGCAGTGAGCAAGAGACAAACTGGTGGCCCGGGCCGTGGGCTCAAGCCTGTAATCCCAGCACTTTGGGAGGCGAGACGGCGCGGATCACGAGGTCAGGAGATGAGACCATCCTGGTGAACAGGTGAAACCGTCCCTTCTACTAAAAAATACAAAACAACCTAGCGGGCGAGCCCACATCCAACCACAGTCGCGTGGCGGCGCCTGTAGTCCCAGCTACTCGGGAGGCTGAGGCAGGAGAATGGCGTAAACCCAGGGGGCGGAGCTTGCAGTGAGCTGAGATCCGGCCACTGCTCCAGCGCGGGCGACAGAGCCAGACTCCGTCTCAAAAAAAAAAAAAAAAAAAAGAGACAGACTGGTTTGAATGACTTGCTGGTGATTGACAGGGAGGGCCTGTGTCTGTTACAGATGATCAGTGCAGAAGCGCCTGTACTCTTTGCCAAGGCAGCCCAGATTTTTATCACAGAGTTGACTCTTCGAGCCTGGATTCACACAGAAGATAACAAGCGCCGGACTCTACAGGTATTATTGCAGACTTAGATTAGGAAAACTGGGGTAAGCAGCCACCTTTGCCTGTTCTCCTGCGTGGCTTTGGACCAAAGATTGTTCTTCTTTAGGCCTCTATCAAGCTGACATGTAATTGGCATCTCCACTGTTGGGAGGCAGACATATTTTCTAGCCATGGTGATTGTGTTTCTCCACCAAAAATCTTAATTCTCTCCTGGTTTTCACAGCTTAGTGACTGAACTCTTTTCCCTTGGTGAGCCCTCACTATAAACAGAGGCTCAAGTGATAGAGTATTTATCTGTTTCCAGACGTAAACAACTTCTGCTTGGGAGCCTTGAGAGATTCCAGGAAAGGACGGTTCCAGGAAGTATCAGCGGTCTCACTAGCTTCATTAGGCTTTTTGTTCCTTGTCTGCCTTCCTGGGAGTCCTCTTCTTCTTCTCCTTCTTCTTCTTCTTTTTTTTTTCAATTTTAATTTTAACCCAGCAAATCCACATACATACTGTATGCAGAGCCCTTGGTCATTGACTCTAGAAACCCTCACCCTATAGCCAAGCCCTGGCTTTTAGAGGAAAGGTTTCTCAGATACAAGAAGAAGGGTGTAACAAGTATAAAACAGTGGCACTATTTTAACAGTGAAGCCAAGAAAATAAATTGTTTTCTCTTCTTGTTTCCCTTTACCTGCAAAGTAGAAAATACATGTGTTTATTCATTTATTCTAAAAATACTTAACTGAACACCCACAATGTGTGCCAGGCACTTTTCTAGGCTCTGGGGATTAACGATACACAAAACAGACAAAAATCCTTATCTGTGGGAAGCCTTCGTTCTAGTACAGCTTGTCAATGCAGCTTAAAGTTAGGATTTGTGTACATTACTATATGAAAGTTTTAAAGCAAAAAAGGGAAAAAATACTGAACTCCAATAAATGATATGCATGTTGAAGTCACAGAATTTATGCTGCCTTGAAGTTAGTCTGTGGATCCAGAGAGACCCAGTTAAAACTCCCTTCAAGATCAATTCAGATTAGAAAATAAAATAGGTGGCCGGGCACGGTGGCTCACGCCTGTAATCCCAGCACTTTGGGAGGCCGAGACGGGCGGATCATGAGGTCAGGAGATCGAGACCATCCCGGCCAACACAGTGAAACCCCATCTCTACTAAAAACATAAAAAATTAGCCGGGCGTGGTGGCGGGCGCTTGTAGTCCCAGCTACTCGGGAGGCTGAGGCAGGAGAATGACTTGAACCCAGGGGGCGGAGCTTGCAGTGAGCTGAGATCAAGCCACTGCACTCCAGCCTGGGTGACAGAGTGAGACTCTGTCTCAAAAAAAAAAAAAAAAAAAAAATAGGCAAAACACTTGGACAGACCTTCAGAAAAAAAGATAAACAAATGCCCAATAAACCCATGAGAAGGTGTGCAACATCATTAGTTGTCAGGGAAATACAAATTAAAACTGCAGTGAGATACTGGTTTATACCCACTAGAATACCTAAAATAAAAAAGACTGACAATACCACAGTTGGTGAGGACGTGGAGTGTCTGAAACTCATATATTACTGGTCAGAATGTAAAGTGGCACAGTCACTTTGAAAAACTTTTGGCACTTTGTAATAAACATATCCCCCTACTCTGTAACCCAGCCATTTCACTCCTAGGTATGTACCCAAAAGAACTGTAGCCATTCTTATATAAAAATGCTCTTAACAACCTTCTTTATACTACCCCAAAACTGAACTCAAGTGTCCATCAATATAGGAATATATAAACAAATTCTGAGGTATTAATGAAATGGATTCCTCCTCAGCAATAAAAAGAAACAAACCATTGCTCCATGCAACATGGATAAATCTCAAAGATACTATGTTAACAAAAGGAACCAGAGGGAAAAAATTACATAGTGCATGATACAATGCATTATTACTACCACCTATGGTGATAGAAATCAGAGTTGTGGATGCCCAGATTTAGGGGAGTGTGGGGAAGGATGTTGACTGGAAAGGGCTAGAAGGAACTTTCTATATTCCTTTTTTATTTTTTGAGACAGGGTCTCACTCTGTGGCCTAGGCTGGAGTGCAGTGGCTCAATCACAGCTCACTGCAGCCTCGACCTCCTGGGCTCAAGTGATCCTCCCACCTCACCCTCCCAAGTAGCTGAGACTACAGGTGCGTGTCACCATATCTGGCTTAAAATTTTTGTTGTTGTGGTAGAGATGAGGCCTTACTATGTTGCCCAGAGCTGGTCTTGAAACTCCTGGCTCAAGCAATCCTCCTGCCTCAGGGAATTTAAAAAGCAAAGTAAAAATTTTAGGAAGACCAACTTAAGTATATCTATGTTTCCAAAATACTCTAGAACATTTTGTTATATGTTGGAGATGTTTATTATTTTTCTTTTTCCTCTTTTATTCCATCGGTAAATGAGCCATTTAGATAGATTGAGTGGGTGACATCAAAAAATGCGACACTATATTGTAGTCATCTTAAATGAGTCCTGGCAGTCTTAAGATGGGCCCTGCTTCAGTTGGAAGGGTTTATCATCAAGCCGGTGGTTGGCAAGAAGGGTGGACTAGAGTTTTGCATTTCAGAGGCTTGGGGCCATCACAGATACAAGGGAAAGAAAAAAAAAGAAAATTTCCATCCTCTCCTGTTTTGTCTCATGAGTCACCTTTTAAGGTGTGGTATATAGAGTTTGCTAAGGATTTCTGTTAGTATGTTGACATTTTCCCCAGCATTTTATTATAAAAAATTTCAAACATAAGCAAAGTTTACAGTGAATACCTGTAAACTTACAACCTAGATTCTACCATAAACATTTTACTATGCTTATTTTATTCCCATATCTATTTATCCCTCTATCCATCCTTCCGAGTAGTCTGTTTTTAAGTGCATTGTAAAGTTTACTTTGCCCAAATACTTTAACATGCATATCATTCACTAGACTTCAGTGTTTTTTCTTATTGTTTTTCCTTTTGCTTTAAATCTTTAGTAAAGTACACAGATCTTAACATACATAATATGTTGGGTTTTAGTAAAAATCTTTTAATTTTATTATTCAAAGAAAGGAAGTATCACACTTGGAGAGAAACCCCCATTAGAGCAGGTCTTGGTTTCAGTATCATTAGCCATCTGACTCCTATGTTGTCTGACCTCTCCTGCTGCTGTTCATAGCACAGACTGTGAATACCAGAATTCTCATAAGCTACGGTTTTTATTTGGGAATTCAAAACTGCAATGATAAACCCATGGTTTAAGCATTGCAATTGAGAATTCCCAAATAAAAACCGTAGCTTGTGAGAACTTAGTGTATACAGATCCAGCGACTTGAAAATGTTGCAAAAAGTTGTTGAATTAGGATTTTACCTAAGAAATCCAAAATAGATTATAACTACTTGTGAACCAAAGGGAAAATATTATTTAGGGCCTTAAAAGGATTATAAACCTAACTTTGCTAACCCACAGAATGACCAGAAACCTACTAATTGAGATTACTAAGTTTATAATTTAAAAATCGCAGGGAGAGGATCAAGCAGGAGTAGCAGTGGTTGGAGGCTCAGATATCCCATTTTAGAGTGTGAGTTACATGTATCTCTTTCTTTTTTGTTGATGATTGTCCACCACGTCTGATCATTTAAAGTATATGAGTTTGGCTGTGCTTATTTCAGCTGTAGACTTGCCCATGGGTGTTTAGTTTGGCTTAAAACTCATCTTACCTTACTTGGAGGGTATAAAGCCAAGTGAACTAGTTTCTCCCCAGGCTAATTTTTCACACCACTTTTCTTTGTTACAGAGAAATGATATCGCCATGGCAATTACAAAATTTGATCAGTTTGATTTTCTCATCGATATTGTTCCAAGAGATGAACTGAAACCTCCAAAGCGTCAGGTGAGCTGTGAAGGCATTGCAGTTGCTGCTGACTGAAGAGCACTTTGCATACTGGTGTCAGATACGCTCCTTCTCCTCTCTCAGCACAAGTCATTTGCTGTTCCTTTTGCTCCTCGTTTCTAGACCAGATTCATTCTGAACATATCCTTCTGTTACTCATTTCTGGATACTTTTAACTCAGTGCCTCTGAAGTGGTGTTTCAGTGAAAATAGACAAAATGAAAATGAAAGACTTTAGTTACAAATGGTAAAGTGAAGCTCATTTCAAGGTATCTTAGGAAGTCTATCAGAGCTCTTCATCTGGGATGGAAGAATATTCCCAGAAAGTTATAGATTTTAGATTTTTAAGAAACAGCTTCTCTGTGTGCACAGTGGTATTTGGAGTGAATGGACTGTGTTTTCTCATCCTTTATATTGTGGTTCTTTATATCTTTATATAGTGCCCTGACTACGCACTAGAATCACCTGTTGGGGTTTTAAAAGTATCAGCACCCAGGCTGTACCCCACATCAGCTGAATCAGAATCTCATGATGGAGCCCAGGCATCAGTACCTTTTAAAACACTCTGGATGCTTTTAATGTGCAACCAGATTTGAGAACCACCACTTGAGCTGTTTTCCAAGCAATCACAAGAAAGAATGTGAATGTCTCCCTTCCCCTCTCTTCTGCCTGCCCCTCTCCAAAGGTCACACTAGTTGTTTTTTCAGCACCTTGGGTGCGTATAGCTCTTAATTGTGATTGTAATAGACCTCTGTCCTTTAGAGCTCATTGTTTTAAGCATGCAGATTGCATGATTCACTAGGTGTAGTAGAGACGCTTGGGAAATAGTGGCAGAATCTCACAGGAGCAAAGCTGGGCCTTGTGCTGCTTGCTTTGTTATATGAAACTTTATTTTTAATGAATTAGTTCATAGTATATTATCCTTAGAAGTAGTCATTCAGTGACAACCATTCTCCCCATCCCAGCCTGTATTAATAGCCAGCCAGAGAAAGTCTAGGAGAAGTGGCATCCTAATCAGCATTTGTAATTCTGACCCTGCATGAGGGCCTTCGGATCAGCAAGCCCTCTGTCACCTCCTTACTAGAGTAGGGTGTGCCTTACTGCGTCTCCGTTCTTTCTGGGCAGTCTTTGCTACTGTAAACATCCTTGACTGGAAGCTGTAAGGTGTTCAGAGGAGCTTTCAGTCGGATGTTTACAGCGGCAGGCTGCCACGGTCGTCCCCAGCTACGCATCGGCTTTGAAACATTGCAGGTTTGTGCCCACAGGCTCAATTCCTCCTCTTGGGAGTCCTTCCCTCCTCTCTAAGCAGTCACAGCAACAAGAACTCAGGCCATTTCTCTTCCTTCAGAACAGAGAGTATCATATACCTGCTTTCCTTGTTGAAATTGTTTTCTCCTTTTGTCTATCAGAAGCCCCCTTTAAAACAAGATGGTGAACTCTGTGATGAAATCAGGCCTTGCTCACTCTCATTGTGCTAAGTCCTTGTTTTCTATGGGCTGCCTGCTGAATACACTGGCTGGAGAGAAGGGTCACATCCTGTCAGTTCCTTCAAATTCCTCAGTGCTTCTGGGTCTCTCGGGGTGTCACACGGCTCCTTATTCCATCTTAGCCAGACTCGAAATGCTGTGATCCATCTGCTTTTAAAGTGTGTTTAGCTGAAACAGCTTCTTGTTGCTTGGATTTAGTTCTTTGTAGGTGTTCAAGCCATTGATTGGCATCGTATTCGGGACAGCTGCTGCCTGGCCTTTGAAAGGTTGAGATTGCTGAAAGCTGGCCTGAAATTCTAAGATAGCATTTTTAATCCTCTGTAGACACGAAGTTTTCCCAGGCTCCAAATTGGCTGGCACCTCCTGAAGTCCTTTAAAACGCCTACTCTCCAAAACCCACCCTTTCTGAAGGAGGCAGCAGTTCACTCTTGCTGCTAAAAAGAATGTACTTTTTTCCAGTCAGGGCTGACTGCACAACACTGTAGAGATGACCCTAGGATGTGATGCTGCTCTTCTCTGGCACTGTTCGTCAGTCTCAGCTTCTGAAAAGATTCCAAGAGCAAGCCCTCTAGTTGGGGAGGCCACTGCTAAAGTTGAGCAAGTGCCCCATTCTGGATTGATCCAGTCATTAAACGATTGTTCTACCACTTGGGACAACCTCCCACTGCTGGGATAAGGAACTAGCCAGAAATATTGAATTGTGAGTCCTAGGCCCTGACTTCTCAAAGATGCTTGGGAGTTTCGCTTGTTCTTCAGAGAAGCAAGTAAAGATTATTTGAAAGTAGTAGGTAGGTGAGGCCTGACTTCTGCCCCACTAAAGCTATGAGTTGAAAGTTCCTGCCCATTGAAATGTCATTATCTTTTCACCCATTTCTTTAAACCAAGCATAATCATTTCCTTGCTAGCTTGACTTCCACTGGCAGAATGAGTCTTCATAATGCAGAAGAGCCTTAGATATGCCTTCTTCCATTTCATTGATTTGAGAACAGTTGTGCCTTGTCCTAACAACACAAACCTAGGTGCCTCCACTTGATTCTCACAGCATCCTAGATATTGTCTAGTTCATAAACAGTTTAAGAGGATTTAGTAAGCAGCATAGGAGGAGCTCTTTACCTGCTCTCACAGTTTTTGGCAAGAGGTATTTTGGGTTCTGGAAGGGGTTTTTAAAGGGTTTGCTTTTTGTCTGACAAAAAGATCATATTCAATACTAGATCAGCTGTAGTCGGGGATAACTGGAGACTAAACAATCACAGGTCAGGGCTAAAAAATGCAGGTGTCTCCCTGCTGCCTAGCTTCCTACACAGATGGTTCTAGGGCTTTCAGTCCTGTATACCCTCTCATTACCCGAGAGCTTTTCCAAGTTAGGTCTGGATTTCAGTGATTTGTATTTTTTGTAAAATAAGAAGGGAGATCTCAGTGGAACCCAAGTACCTTGAACCTACTTCAACAACTTTGCAAAGAGCAGTTGGCCTCTATTTCTTGGCTGCAAAAGGTATCAGTATTTTAGCCTTGCCACAGCCAAGACCTAGTTTGCAGGCTGACATTTATTTATAATGATGATAAGTTGGGGTTGAAATGGAGTTGACGTTGCCATTTTTAAGTTGTTGTGGAAATTGAGACCTAGATGAAAATAAAAGGGAATCTCCTTTTCCTTCTGCCTCGGCATAATCATATTGAGGGTTAAAACTGTTTGTGTCTGAAGCACAGAATATATTAACCTAGAAAGTCAGTTCATACATTAACTGAGAAACCCAGAATATTACAGGTATCTCCCTAAGCTGGATAGATGGCTGTCAAGTAACCGTGTCATGCAGAGACCCATGTTTCTCAGGGGCTAGATACTGGCAGTCCTAGTTTTAGTGTCCTGGCCCCCAGTCATCAGGCAAACAAAGGATACTCAGCTCTGTTCCACAGGGGACACCAGCTGCTTCCCCACACTGTAGCCACAGAGTCCTAGAGGTACCAAAAGAGAGTTTAGAGACTACTTTTTTCTATTGGTAACAACTGTTGGGTTTAAGAGAATTTGTCATACCACCAACTTAGATTCAGAGAAGTACTTTCCTGCCTCTGTCTGCCTGTCTAAATAAATCCGTCCATCATTCAGCAAGCACTTATTGAGTGCCTACCTGGGAACGCAGGGGATAGCAAGAGAGCAAGAGGGAGCTAGGCTTTGCCCTCATGGCACTTACATTTTAGTAGAACAGTTAATTTGACATGAAAGTGCAAAAGTGTATACTATGAGGACAGTACTTTGGAAGCACAGTTCAGGGCACCTAACATAATGTTGGGAATGGGGTCAATACCAGCTTTGTAAATGTTACTTGGGGGAGTTTGAGGCAGCCCACCGGGTTTGTGTACTTCTAAGAAGTGTCTTTTCCTCTTTTCTGGAACATGGCAAACTTTGCCCTGAATAAGGACATGAGTAAATTTAGCTAATATTTTTACTCAGCCAGCCCAAGTGGTTCTATGTTTTTATTGTTTTTGTTGTCCCAGGCAGGGGCACCATGTGTCACACAGGTCACTCCGGATCAGACGCCGTTCTGTGTCAGTGGTCAGGGGCTGACCAACCCTGGACCCTGTGGGCTATAACCATGCTGTAGTGTGTGTAAACATCCTACACTCTCAGCTGTGAGCTCAAGGTGGCTGGGAGAGGGTTGTTTACTCCTTCTGCCATGGAAAACATCAGCTGAAGAAGGAACAGTCTCCACTCCGCAGATCGGACAGAATGCGACCTCCCTAATCAGCCAAGGCAGTACCCCAGCGGAGAGCTGTCCATCAGGCCCCCTGGGTTGCGCTTCTGTGGCTAAGTACAACCAGAACCAGATGTGACACTGGATAGACATGCCCTCCGTGACCACAGAGCTTTCAACAAGCTGTGAAAAGCTGGGTACTTGCCTACCAGTGCTCTCGATCCTGAAAATTTCAGCTCAGGAAAAGCCCTGTTTCCCATTAACCTGTTCTGTCCCCCTTGAAGTGGTGGGGATAAAATGAGAAGAGTGCTGCCTGTTTGGGAGATTGGGACCAGGCCTGAGAGGCATGATGTTTGGGTAGCATCTTCCCAACACGTGCAATTAGCACTGTTCTCAGATCACAGGCCTTGACAGCATTTACTGACAAGCACTGCTGGTGCGTGGTTTTTAGTTACAGTAATTATTTGCCCGTTTGCAACTTATCATGCAATGGGTGATTATTTCGTACTTGGCTATATGTTTTGTGAAGCCTATAGGATCTGTTATTTTTAGTTTGATTTAGCATAACTGGTCTCTTTGAATTCCACTTTCCTTTGGCTTCAAATGTGGAGAGCTCAGCATTCATCAGGCAACTGCACATAGCCTGTTTGGGGGAAGAGTGGAAATTCACTGTGGCGGTTGCTGAATCGGTTCTTTTTCTCTTACCTGTCTCTCTTTCCACCCAACAGGAGGAGGTGCGCCAGTCTGTAACTCCTGCCGAGCCAGTCCAGTACTATTTCACGCTGGCTCAGCAGCCCACCGCTGTCCAAGTCCAGGGCCAGCAGCAAGGCCAGCAGACCACCAGCTCCACGACCACCATCCAGCCTGGGCAGATCATCATCGCACAGCCTCAGCAGGGCCAGGTCTGTGAGCTGCTGAGGATGCCCATCCAGCAAGACAGTCCCCCTTAGGTTTTTGGATGGGCAGAGCTTGATGAGGGCAGAGAGGCAGCCGGATCATTAGAGAGCACTGGATTTAAAGTCTGGAAACGGGAACTTTTCCCCAGATTCAGCTACTGGGGTGAGATGTCACCCTAATCTCTCTGGACCCTGTTTTTCTCAAAGGTCAAATGAAGAAAGTGTAGTGGACAGTATGTTCTCCAGGATCCCTATTAGCTCAGAAATTTTAGGAGAGAAAAAAAATGTCTGAAATGCCTTATGAAGAGTAGTGGGATCTCTGTAGAGGTACTAAAGTGAACTCCATGCCTGCTGTCTGTGTGTCTGTGTCAGAAGTGGAATTTGTGCCCTTAAAAGGAGAGATTAGGTATCATTGCCAGTTTGCATACTCCTTCTCCCCGTCATTTCTGTGTCCCATATTTGTGTCAAGTGACCTTCTCTTTTTACGATAGTAATCAGAGGACTCTTTCTCTCCCCAGTAGTATTGTTGAGAGCAGTAGCATTCATGTTTGTTGGGGGTCATGTGAGGCTGCAGAGAACTCTGTACTGTGAGCTCTGAATCCAAATTCTCTGTCAATCATTATTTATTCATCAAACACTGAGCATCCTCTGAGGGTAAAGTCCTGTACTATGTACTGGGGATACAAGCATGAATACAACAGTCCTTATTTTCAAGGAATTCACAATTTAGTTGGGGATACAAATACTTAAAGGTTGTACCTCCACATGGGAATGTGTACAGGGTGTTATAGGAACACATCAAAAGAAGTACCTTGGCTCAGCGTAGTGGCTCATGCCTGTAATCCCAACACTTTGGGAGGCCAAGTTGAAAGGAACCCAGGAGTTTGGGTTACAGTGAGGTAGGATCATGCCACTGCACTTCAGCCCAGGCAGCACAGCAAGACCTCTTCTTTAATTAAAAAAAAAGGCAGGGACATGTGGTGGCTCGTGTGTAATTCCAACACTTTGGGTGGCCAAGGCAGGGGGATTGCATGAGCCCACGTGTTCAAGACCAGCCTGGGCAACATGGTGAGACCCTGTGTCTACCAAAAAATCAGAACATTAGCCAGCCATGGTGGCATGCACTTGTGTCCCAGCTACTTAAGAGGCTGAGTTGGGAGGATCGCTTGAGCCAAGGAAGTCAAGGCCTCAGTGAACTGTGATTGTGCCATTGCACTCCAGCTGGGGTGACAGAGCAAGATGCTGTCTCAAAAAAAAAGTGTGTATATATATGTATATGTGTGTGTGTGTGTGTGTGTGTGTGTGTGTGTGTATATATATATATATATATATGAGGATGAGTAGCTAAGAAAGATGTGAAGGAGATGGTCAGATAATGTTCCTGAAGGAAGTAATATGAGTCTTAGGGAACAGTGGAAATTAATCAAAGAAAGCGGGAAAGGGTGGTATTGCCAGTTGAGGGCACAGCATAGGCAAAGGCTTAGAAGTGAGAAACAGTACAGGGAGCCATGGGAAAGTAGTCAGCATAGGAGACCATCTAGGCAAGTTTGAAAAGATAGGTAGTGAACACATCCTGGACAGCCTTGTGTATTCTAATAAGGAGCTGAGTTTGCCTAGAAGAAAAAAAAATGGGGTGGAGGTAGATGGATTGATTGATGTTTTTTTAAAGATAGGTTCTCACTTGGTCACCCCGGCTGGAGTAGCACAATCATAGCTTACTGCAGGTTCAAACTGCTGGGCTCAAGCAATCCTTCTGCCTCAGCCTCCCGAGGAGCTGGGACTCCCAGGCGTATGCCACCACACCTGGATAATTTTTAATTTTTTTGTGGAGATGGAGTCTCATTAATGTTTCACAGGCTGGTCTCGAACTCCTGGCTTCATGCCATCCTCTCACCTTGGCCTTCCACAGTGGTGGGATGACAGGCATGAGCCACCATTGTAATTATGATTTGTCCAGGTGCAGTAGTTCACACCTGTAATCCCATCACTTTGGGAGGCCAACGTAGGCGGATCACAAGGTCAGGAGTTCGAGACCAGCCTGGCCAATATGGTGAAACCCCATCTCTACTAAAAATGCAAAAATTAGCCGGGCATGGTGGCGGGCGCCTGTAGTCCCAGCTACTCGGGAGGCTGAGGCAGGAGAATCTCTTGAACCTGGGAGGCGGAGGTTGCCGTGAGCTGAGATCATGCCGCTGCACTCCAGCCTGGGTGACAGAGCGAGACTGCGTCTCAAAAAAAAAAAGGTAATTATGATTTTAGGATTTATTCCCTGCTCATTTACTTATCCATGTTACAAAAATGTATTGAGTACTTGTTTTATGCCAGACACTGTGCTAGGCAGGAGGGTTCAAAGATAATGGCTGCTCAGTCACTGCCTCAAGACCTCAATTGCACCATGATGCCTAAGGGACCTTCTTTGGCTAATGCTTGTGCCTCTACAGTGGTGAAAGCTTGACCTGCCAAAGGCTTTATCCCTTTACAGAGTGAACTTAGAGGAAGTCTGCCAAGGGCAGGCTCTGATTGGCTGATCATCCTAAGAAGCTCATGGCTGTTGTGCCCTGACAACAGGGCACACCATACATGATTTGACAGCTGCCATGCTAACACAAGCCCTCATTTTCCTGAAATGATTTAGAAATACCTTGGAAATCCTCTTGGGAAAATTGGGTTGATATAGTACAGTGATGAGTTGGCAGCATGCATTTCTTTTTAGTCAGCGAGAATTTCATCTATCCTCTTCTCTGCCAACCCAGACGTGCTCATCTTGGAGCTGATAAGGCTTGTGAGGATGGTGAAGTTGGTCCTTCCCAGCATTTCCTGGCTGTTCTTTCACCATCCTGCTGCTTCAGGGTGGCCTTGTGCTGTGTCACACCTCCCTGGACCTGTTGTGATGGCTATTTCAAGTTGAGTGCAGATATACTTTGTAGGACAGAATACATATGTATCAAAGCAGAGTTGGAAAGAATGCATATTTTGGTAAAATTAATCCTGTGTTTTCTGTCATAAATTGGAAACTTATTTATGGAAGTTGGGAATAGGCTGAATTGAAAATTGTGGTACAAGAATGAAAGAGATGTTTTCTGTTAGCCTAGCCCACTGCATGTACTTTTAGAACACTCTGTTGTCTTTCTTTCCTGCCCTCCTCCAGTTTGTAGTAATTTCTCCTTAGTAATCCCTTGAATCTCATCTGTCGTTCCCAGAACACATCCCCTTCCCTTGTAACTTTGGATGCATAGTTGTAATTTTCAGTAATCTATGCAGTCAGAATTAAGAACATCAGAATAGCAACATCAGTTGAAGTTTATGATTCATTGAGACTTCCATAGTCGTCTTATTGAGGTGATTAATTCAGAGTGGGGGAGACAGAGTGACAGAATTCAAGTCAGGGATTGGATATACAGATGTAGTTTAAAAGGCTCCACCCACACACAACCCCCCCGCCGCCGCTGCACCCCCCATCACTACCACCACCAGATGAGCCAGATAGGCTCACTGCTCTAGGTAACCTGTGAAAGTCACAAATAGTACTAAAGTTTTGAGATTTGAAAGAATAATTGACCCTTTTGGCAGCTTGTGTCTTTACCATCTCTCAGAAGAGTACATTTCATAGTACTATAACCATTGTGTGTGAGAGACAGAATCTGCCAAGTCATACACATTGGGCAGAAATTTCTTAGATCCGAGATTGCTGTTTTTAGAAAATTAGAGTTCTTGCTTTCTTAAATTCTATTAATTAGGGGTACACTTAGTTAAGAGTCTGTGTCTTAACAGTGCCCAGTGAGTTAGCAGTGTTTGCTCTCCTGTGGGAAGCCATACTGTGGTCCAGAGTAGCCATCTGGCCAGTGTGGGCAGGAACTGCTCTGCGGTTTGAATGGGGTGAGAGCCAGTGTGCACTAGGGTCAGCCTCGGAGATGTACCCCTGTGCGTTATTTTTCTCTCAGTGTCTTAAATGCCTAAGAAAGAGCACATGACCCTGAACTAACTAAATCCGTACCCTTTGCATTTAATGTTACCCTCCAAATTCATCTGCCCCAGACTTGACTTTGACTATTTCTGAAGTAAACTGTCATGGTTGCTTTTGATTTTTTCTGTAGTGTATGTGCCTTATCGTCACTAAAGGGGCTGTGAAAATTTGCAGCATTTGGGGCACAGAGATTTATGTTTGGGACCCATGCAGATATTTGTACTGTGAGCCTTAAAATATTTTTGGCTTTTCTTTCATTTTGGAGAGTAGCTTTAGCAATGCTGTAAACCCAAAGGACTCTGCATTACTAGTATTGAGATGAGTTTAGGCATTCATTGAGAGGGTTTGCTCCCGGCACACTGCTCGTTACTAACCTCTTGGTAATCCTGTGGGCTCTAAGCCTGAACTCATGCAGCATTCTCATAACTCTTCCTTTCAGACCACGCCTGTGACAATGCAGGTTGGAGAAGGTCAGCAGGTGCAGATTGTCCAGGCCCAGCCACAGGGTCAAGCCCAGCAGGCCCAGAGTAGCACTGGACAGACCATGCAGGTGATGCAGCAGATCATCACTAACACGGGAGAGATCCAGCAGATCCCGGTGAGTCCTGCCCTGAGGTTTGTCTTTACAGCTTTATAGAAGGAAATACTTAAAGATATATCTATGCCTTGATATATATATATATATATATATGAGGATGAGTAGCTAAGAAAGATGTGAAGGAGATGGTCAGATAATGTTCCTGAAGGAAGTAATATGAGTCTTAGGGAACAGTGGAAATTAATCAAAGAAAGCGGGAAAGGGTGGTATTGCCAGTTGAGGGCACAGCATAGGCAAAGGCTTAGAAGTGAGAAACAGTACAGGGAGCCATGGGAAAGTAGTCAGCATAGGAGACCATCTAGGCAAGTTTGAAAAGATAGGTAGTGAACACATCCTGGACAGCCTTGTGTATTCTAATAAGGAGCTGAGTTTGCCTAGAAGAAAAAAAAATGGGGTGGAGGTAGATGGATTGATTGATGTTTTTTTAAAGATAGGTTCTCACTTGGTCACCCCGGCTGGAGTAGCACAATCATAGCTTACTGCAGGTTCAAACTGCTGGGCTCAAGCAATCCTTCTGCCTCAGCCTCCCGAGGAGCTGGGACTCCCAGGCGTATGCCACCACACCTGGATAATTTTTAATTTTTTTGTGGAGATGGAGTCTCATTAATGTTTCACAGGCTGGTCTCGAACTCCTGGCTTCATGCCATCCTCTCACCTTGGCCTTCCACAGTGGTGGGATGACAGGCATGAGCCACCATTGTAATTATGATTTGTCCAGGTGCAGTTGCACGTTCAGGCCTGGGCGACAGAGCAAGACTATCTCAAAAAAAAAAAAAAAAAAAAAAGTATTGTGCGTGTGTGTGAGAGAGAGAGAGAGAATATATAGTATATATATATATATCAAGGCATAGATATATCTTTAAGTATTTCCTTCTATAAAGCTGTAAAGACGAAACCTGCAGGGCAGGACTCACCGGGATCTGCTGGATCTCTCCCGTGGTTAGTGGATGATCGCTGCATCACCTGCATGGTCCTGTCCAGTGGCTACTCTGGCCTGCTGG